TGTGTTTGCTCATTGGTCCCATTTTATTTCTGTCCCATTTTCTTTTCCTTTAGTTTAACTCCCCATCCCCTCCCTCGTTTTAGGTGGTCAGTGATGTCAGTTCTCTGGTAGATGCAGGGGCGCCTTTCGTTTTTCGTGTGTGTGTTTTTCGTAATTGTTGTTGTGTATGAATGAGTGTGTGCCTGTGTGAATGCTTGGGAAGAATGAGTGTGGTCTTATTTTCATAAGTCCCGCATCGATTTCATCCGTTAACTGATATTTCTGCCACTTTCAAAAAAGTTTGTGGGGGGTTTATTACTAACACTAATTTTATTTGGTTTCTTGTAAATATATTTTGTCATTTTGTATATATTCATTGGGGATCATTTTAGAAGCTGTTGTTTTTTGCCCTCCCCCACAGACAATATTTTGTACATAAAGGGGATTATTTAGGTTTTTTCATGGAGTCAAAAGAGGCATTTTGGTGTTTGTAGTAAAGAAAGGTATGGATAAATGTGTTGTTTTGGTGAAAGGAATATTGTTCTGTATGATAGGGTCAGTGGTTGTGGCTAGCTAAGTTTTAATCTAAGACAAGTGATGACCGTCCTTTACCCCAACCCCCTTTTTCGGCCTTGTGCCACATTTGTACAAAGTACAATAAATAATGTTGATGAATGGGAATTTCTGCTATCAACTCCGGCTTTTGATTCAAGACTATTATATCCAGCCGAAATAATCTCTATAAAAAGTTGCCGACCAACCAAAACCCAAAAGAGAATTTCATGGAACAAATTTGGTAAATAGAATTTTGACTAATTTTCATTGACCAAACTAAAAATTAATATTTATTTACACACCTTTGTGGATTTCCAAATATAGCACTTAGATTACTTCACTAGCCCTAGAGTGATAAAGATATTTGACTCCCTTTCCTTCTCCCTCGTAACACTTGCCAGTAACTCTGTGTTTTCTGTTTTGTAGGCCACAATTGTTTATCTTGTATATTTTTATGTTGTGTTTTAGTAAATTAAATATTTGTTTGTGATTTAGCTCTGTGTTGTGGTAAATCATTTTTTTCCCTTTGTTACAATTATCAACACGTAACAAAATATACACATATATATACATATGTATGTACACATAGGTAAAAATAATTCGTAAATTGAGGTTAAATATGATGGATAATTCATGAAAAAAGTGACTACATGCAATAGTACATGTTAGTGTTATATTAAATATCCAAAATTTCAAAGGTGAGGTTCTTCAAAACAGATATTGTTTGAGAATTTGAAGTGATTTTTGTGTCTTCATTTGAAGATAAGCTTACTGCGCTGATTTAGTAACTCGTCAGAGTTATCATGTGTATATATATATATATATATGACGTGTACACTGAGATAAACACCATGCAATCGCCAGATGGCTAGAAAATCAGGTTCAAGCATGGAATATACTGTGGCCGTTAGTTATTAACCTCTCTCTCTCTCTCTCTCTCTCTCTCTCTCTCTCTCTCTTAAATTGACCACTTTTACCCATTAATATAGCATACCTTTAAACAATATTTTATCATATATATATATATATATATATCCTTTATTTGAAGATCACACTGAAGCATGAATCTGACAGTCATCATTCAGTGTTGATACTCTCTCTCTCTCTCTCTCTCTCTCTCTCTCTCTCTCTCTCTCTCTCTCTCTGATATATATAATTTTTTAAGCGTTTCACCCCAAGCAAGGCGGGAAGCCACTAGGACGCAAGGGGTTACAGAAAATTTGGAGCAGGATCAGGTAGGAGTGATAGAAGAAAGGATGAGGAGAATAGTAGTGGATAGATCAAGGCAACTGGAGATGTCGATTGACATTACATTTGAATAGCTGGAGATTATAGCTCTCAGGGAAACTGGAATAGGAAAGGGAGTTCCACAGGCGAGAGGTGCGAGACATGAAGCTATTGAAGTAGAAGAGAGGGATACATTTAGAAGTTTCGACAGTGAAGGGGTGAGAGCGGGATGCCAGCCTCGTAGGGCGCTTGAACTCATGACGTCTGGGAACCAGCGAATGCAGCTCCTCGGAGCAATTGCCATGAAAGTATTTGTAAAACAGACAGAGAGAGGCGACGGCGCGTCTGTGAGAAAGTGACTGTAGACGAAATGCCAGAGCAGGGCCAAATATATTGCATATCCGCCTCTGGGGCCTATCAAGAACCCCGAGGCAAACAGAAGGGGCTCCAGACCATATATGGCAGCAATACTCCATGCAAGGACGAATTGTTGATTTGTATATCTGGAGGATTGATTCCGGGGAGAAAAATTTCTTGGCGCGGCACAGGGAGCCAACTTTCCTTGCGGTGGACGAAGCAATTGACTCAATGTATTTGTTCCGTCTCAGGTCAGCAGTCAACGTGAGACCGAGCAGCCGCAGAGAGTTGCTCTCGAGAAGTTGAGCGTCAGACATTCTAATGGAGGGCAGGGAAGGATCTCTGTGGTGATTAATCGAGAGCAGTTTTGTTTTTGAAGCATTAAAGTTGACCAGCCAATTCCTGCCCCAGTTAACAACCGATCGGAGGTCCTTTTCGAGACGCACGGCCAGGTTAGTTTTGTCAGTGACACTAGATTTGTTTCTGAGGCAGAAATAAATTGTGGTGTCATCCGCGTAGATGCCAACTTAGGAATTTATGGCTTCAGGCAGGTTGTTTATGTAGATAAGGAATAGAGTGGGGCCTAGGATGGAGCCTTGAGGAACAACTGCATTCGTGGGATAGGAACTGGAGGAGAATCCGTTGAGAACGACCTTCAATTCACGGTTATATATATATATATATATATATATATATATATATATATATATATATATATTTATCATTTGTTCATATATATATATATATATATATATATATATATATAAATTAATCAATCCAAATATATAAATAATAAACAAATTAAAAACTGTCCCCGCCAAAATAACAGAATAAACTACGGCAATCAATCTAAAAATTGGACGAATAAATAACTTTATCTTGCCAGACCAAAACAAACTATGAAATAAGCGACCTAAAAAAACTCCCAAAAATTTTTACTACGTTAATAAAACATCGAAAACCGAAAAGAATAAATAAATATTTAAAATAAAAAATGAAAATAAAAAACAAGTAAAATAAAATAACCCAAATAAATAAGCGACTCCCGCCAACCGTCAGAATGGATTACCCACAATGCACCACTGACTCATATATATATATATATATATATATAGTCGAGAAAAAAAAACTCGCGGCCTGACGATTGCATCTAGGATGAAACAGCCTTTCGCCTCTAAGTGTTGACTTCAATGTTCACTTTTATATTTATTTATTTATATACGTTCTATCTCTGATATTAAGTATTTTATCCCATAAGTATAGCACACCTGAAAACTGTATTTCTTCATATATATATATATATATATATATATATATATATATAATTCTTGAACATTAGTCGCTCACTTTACTTTTTGACAGACTTTGAATTATAAAACTTTGTGCCCTTCACATACTTTGACTGACCTTTCAAGCATTTGATGAACATTCATGAATGTTCTCAATTTTTAAAGCCGTGATCACCCAATGACATCCTCGCCTTTGTATATAAACATGTACAACAAAATAAATCTTACATTACTTTGATAAAGTCCCTCAGAGGACGAACCATGCTGGTGAAGAATAGTTTTTCCTTTTGTCACTTTTAATTCATATATATATATATATATATATATATATATTCTTTAAATTTTAATTTATTTATTTGGGTTGTACATAGTATTAGACACACTGAGGCATCCAAACATTATAATCTGAAAGATTCCGACATTGAATCCATCAAGGAACCATCCATTATCATCACAGGAGAGAATTAATGATGGCATCGAGAGAATTAAAGATAAGCTCAAGAGAATTAAGGATAAACCTAGATTAAATTAAGGATGACCACAAGAGAAGTAAGATCACCTCGAGAGAATTAAAGATGACCTGGGGCGAATTAAGGTGACCTTGAGAGAATTAAGAATGGCCTGCAGAGAATTAATGATGATCTCAAGAGAATGACGGATGAACTTTATAGAATGAACGATGACCTGGAGCGAATTAAGGATGATCTCTAGAAAATGAAGGATGAGCTGCATAAAATTAAGGATGAACTGGTGAGAATTAAGGATGATCTCAAGAGAATGACGGATGAACTTTATAGAATGAACGATGACCTGGAGCGAATTAAGGATGATCTCTAGAAAATGAAGGATGAGCTGCATAAAATTAAGGATGAACTGGTGAGAATTAAGGATGATCTCAAGAGAATGACGGATGAACTTTATAGAATGAACGATGACCTGGAGCGAATTAAGGATGATCTCTAGAAAATGAAGGATGAGCTGGATAAAATTAAGGATGAACTGGTGAGAATTAAGGATGATCTCAAGAGAATGAAAGGTGACCTGGATAGAATTAAGGATGTCCGGTAGAAAATTAAAGATGATGTTAAGAGAATGAAGTATGTCTATATTTCTGAGATGAGGTATTATGTACAGTATTTACATTAGTCGGACTATTGTCCTCATCTTTGTCGCCATATTTGTCACAACGTTTCGGCCGTTGTACGCTCCGGCCTTCTTCAGGTGGTTGGAATTTCGAACTGAACCCTTTAACATGGCACGTGGAACTAGAACAGTCTACCCCAGTGATCGAAATAAACGGTTCAGTTCGAAATTCCAACCACCTGAAGAAGGCCGGAGCGTACAACGGCCGAAACGTTGTGACAAATATGGCGACAAAGATGAGGACAATAGTCCGACTAATGTAAATACTGAGAATGAAGTATGACCTGTATAGAATTAAAGATGACCAGGAGAGGATTAAGGTTGATCTGAACAAGGAAGGATGACCCGTAGAGGATTAAGGTTGATCTAATGAGAATTAAGGATGATCTCAAGAATGAATGATGACCTACATAGAATTAAGGATCACCTGGAGACAATAAAGGATGATTTCAAGATGAGGAAGGATGACCTGAATAGAATTGAGGATGCCCTTTTTAGAATTAATTAAGGATGATCTCAAGAGAATGAAAGATGACCTGGGTGGAAGTAAGGATGACATGGAAAGTATGAAGGATGACCTATATTGAATTAAGGATCACCTGGAGACAATAAAGAATGATCTCAAGGGAAGGAAGGATGACCTGGAGAGAATTAATGAAAATCTCAATCGAATTAAGATGGTCTGTATATAATTAAGGATGATCTGCATAGAATTAAAGATGATCTTAAGAGAATGAAGGATAACCTGGATAGAATTAAGTATGCCCTGGAGTGAATTAAGGATGATTTCAAGAGAATAAAGGATGACCATTATTGCATTAAGGATGACCTGGAGAGACTTAGGGATGATCTGGAAAGAATGAAGGATCACCTTTATTGAATTAAGGATGACCTGGAGGGAATTAGTGTTGATCTTAAAGGAATGAAGGGTGGTCTGTATAGAATTAAATTTACCCTGAAAAGGATTAAGGATGATCTCAAGAGAATGAAGAATGACCTTGTTATAATTAAGGATTACCTGGAGAGAATTAATGATGATCTCAAGAGAATGAAGAATGACCTGTATGGAATTAATGATAACTTAGGTAGAATTAAGGATGATCTCGAGAGAATTTAGGATGAACTCAAGAAAATTAAAGATGACCTTGAGATAATTATTGTTGACCTCGAAAGAATTACAGATAAACTTAGAGAGATTTAAGGATGAACATGAAATAATTTAAGATGACCTGCATATAATTTAGGATGATCTCGAGAGTATTAAGGATGACCTCATGAGAATTAAGGATGATCTCGAGAGAATTAGTGCTGCTACAGTTTTAGTCATGCATGGGTTCAGCATCATTTGCCACAATTTTGAAATATGCCTTAACTTGGAAAATGGAATACTCAATATTTGACCGAAACTGAACGGAATCAAAATTCAATGCATCTCGTCATTTTCGGGCAGATTAGTGATTAGAAATGAATAATTGAAATTTTTATAATAATATAAAGAAACGCAGTTATTCAGCGGGGAATTACGTACAATCCAAAGTAGTAATGTTTTACTGATTGCTGAATTGCAATTAGTGTAATTAGACATTAGTAAGTGTATCAAAATACTGTTTTGATTCGTGATAGGCAAAACTAATCGTATGCAAAATGACGGAAAATTTCGAAACCTCCATCAAACAACTTTCCATACCCTTTTTATTCCGCATTTATTTTTACATTTCATTACCAACAAAATGATATAAAAGAACGGCTAATATATATGAACAGATTAGATAGATAGATAGATAGATAGATAGATAGATAGATAGATAGATAGATAGATAGATAGATAGTGAACAATCTGTGGTAAACGCACATCAGTAGAGATGCAAAAGATGCCTCGGATCACATGCTGATATGTTTGTCAACATCAGTTACATCCGGATTTGGCAGCGAGACAGTTTGGCAAGTCTCTCTGCAACTGGTCAAGATCTGAGTATTTGTAAGATGCCTCATGCCAATAAAAGCTGGATGAAAACACCAATCAGTAAGACATGGTGTCTTGTGCAGTTGGCCCCGTGAGTATTTTTTTCCCTAATTTGCTTTGGTTTCTGAAGCAGTGTTATTTTTTTTTTTGTTATCTCCTGTCTTTTTCCCCTCTCTCCCTATTATCTCTGTACTTGTTGGGAGAGCAATCTGTTAGGTGTCCCCACTCCAATCTATTTCGGCATTCATGGCTGACACCAATTTAGATCTGAAGCTAATCCCTGAATATGATTTTGTCACTTTGATTGACGGGAGGGACGTTTGCTGTGTTCCAACAACTCAGAAAGGAATAAAGAAAAGATGCAGTCTATATCAGGAATGCCTTGGACATTGCCTTTGCCACAGATCTATTTGTAGCATACGACCAGTTTGTCGCTAGGCACTTGAATTGAAACGAATCTGTCAATGTTTCCGCAAGCTGTCAACCTTGTATGGAGGTTACCTGACCATGGACTTGCATGTGCATTTGTAGCAGGGTTAACTGAACATGTCAGTAAGCTGCTTCATGTTTCCTCTTGAAGGGATGCACTGGATGTGAACCAGCTATTAAACTTGGATAGAGCCATACTAAAGGATGATACACTGGCGGCAACAGCAAAGTCTGAGCAACTTGGTGCAGACTTGACTTCTGCCAATGATGCACAGAGCGATATCGTTTGCCATAGATGTGGTGGTGCTAATCATTTGATTAGATATTGTTTGAGTCAACAAACGGGGGAAAGTGGGAGCCAGAAAGGAGACAAAGCCATCTGGGCCATATATCACAGAAATACTCGGGAAGCAGACATAAGCAACAATTTCATTACCCGCCCAGATATAAATGTAGCGCTGCCTGTAGTCAATGTATTGGTTGATGGGGAATGGTATTCAGCTCTCAATGCCGGTTGTAGACTGGAAAGCACGTAGATATGGAGAAGGTCGGTGACGGTATGTGGGCGTGCTGTTTCGGGACCGTTAATATCTGCATAGACAGTGACAACTCAGCCAAAGTTAATGTCCTTGTGGTGCATGACAAACCTCTAGGGTTTGACTTACTTGCCGGAATAGATGCGATAACTGCCTTAGGTGGCATCTATATCACAAAGACTGGAATGTATGGTTCTGTAGCAAAGAAGCATCAAAATATGCGGTGATCCAAATTTTCCAACCTGACTTTTCTGTAGAATTCAACCTCGTGTGTGGATGGTTGCATGTGGCAACTGTGTTCATCGAGAGGCAGGCAAACGCAGTCACAAAGAGATGGGATGACCAAGTTGACGGCATCCTCTCAAGCAGATGGTGAAGGAAACCATTAACAGAATGCAACAGGAAGATTCTGCCCAGGGTAACTGGTGTTTAAACGGATCTGAAATCAAGGTATGGATCGATGCAATCTCCCTAGCGACAGGAGTAATGCTGGAAAAAGATGGAGCAACGTTGGTGGACACATGCAGGCTTCGGCCAACAAACAGCAACCAACATATCAACTTGACTGAACTGGATGCGGCAATCAAAGGCCTTAATTTGGCAATCCAGTGGCAGGCAAAGTGTCTACACATAAAAACCAATTCCTTATGTGTGTACCAGTGGTTGTCTGACACTCTCACCGGCAAAGAAACGTACGAGATGCTGGTGCGAAGAAGGTTGAGCACAATGAAGGATCTGGTCCAAGGATATAAATTGTCTATCGACATGATGTTGGTATATGACAGACAAGATGTGCCCCAAAGGTGGGTCGATATGGCCAAAAAAGAGGATTAGTCTTCAGGTGGAGATTTTTTTTTTTGTCAGGGGATATGTACAGCAGACGTGTGATGCTTCCCTCGACACCATGAGTCCCAGTCTGATAATGGAAGTACATCAACGCAGTGGGCACCCAGGAGTACGGCGTACCACATATTTTATGAGAAGGTTTTGTCCTTTCGTAATAAATGCCATCGTAAAATCGTCGTCATTACCTGACACTTACAAATTGTGGCCCGTCACGTTTTTCTGTCTGGCCGTTACACCACCAAGACTCTTTGAGTAACATACGTCAGCTGGAGACTGTTCTGTGAGAGGAGACCACCACGTGATATAATCACAGACAATGACACCGCGTTCCACAGCAAGGACTTCCAGGGACGCACATTTGCGATTCCGATGCGCGTATATTCCGACGGGAAATTTAATAATGAAGCGGGGTCACATAAATGTCAAGAGGATTGCGGTCAGAATGAAGCGTAGCTGTTGAGAGTGCACCTACTAGTACAATGTAATCCACAAAGATGACACCTCACCACCAACCGCAAAGCAAGTCTACAGTTACGAGGTTCGATTTAAAGGGATTGATTCATTACCTGCAACGAGGTGAGCCACAATGTGTACAAGATGGGAAGCTCTGCGTGAGTAAAGGTTCCACAAAATCGGTGTACACCTTTCGGAAAGGGGCGAATTACTGGACTTGTTAGTTCGCAATTAGTCTTAGTGGACGGAATGCCCTGCCATGTTATTGATCTTCACCCTTCCCTGAGTTCACAATCTTCAATGAGGCTATGTGCGGCAGTCAAGATGAAATCCTCGTGAGACCAGATGAAGAATAAGCACTCAACAAAAGAAAGCTGCTCCAAGCTGATATATCTGTGATCACGAGATCAGGGGGAGTATGGCGAGTACAGACGCCAAAGAGGCCTCGGGTCGCCTACTGGACAGTTTGCCATGTCTAGCTTGATACAAGCCTCTCTTTGCATCTGGTCGGGATCCGGGTCTTTGTAAGATGCCTCATGCCAAAAAACAAAAAAAAAAGCTGGGGGAAAACAGCAATCGGCATTTGGCAAGATACGGTGTCTTGTGAATTAGATCTCGTAGGCATTTTTGTTCCTAAAGTTGCTGTGGTTTCCGAGGCAGTGTCATTTTTGTTACCTCCCGTCTCTTTCCCCTCTATCCCTATTATCCCCATACTTGTTAGGAGAGAAATCGTTTAAGTGTTCTCCCCTAATCTCTTTGCTTACATTGCAACAATCACTTTACATCACATCAGTCCTAGATAGATAGAAAATAAACAATCGTAGATAGATAGATAGATAGATAGATAGATAGATAGATAATGGACAGACTGAGATAGATAGATAGATAGATAGATAGATAGATAGATAGATAGATAGATAGATAGATAATATTAAATTCCATGTGATCTACACTCGTACCTCAATATCTTTTGCAATCTATTTCATTTTAATAGCACACACTGAGTCGAGTAAGTAAAAACCAGTTGAAAATTGCAGACTTAGGAGTTATTCAAACAAGGTATTGGTTGTGAGTATTCTCTGTCAGGTGACAGTATATGAAGGTACGGTGGTGGGGGGCACATGAGACTAAAAATAAGGAATACAACAAGAAGAAAAATTGCGAACATTTTACAAATATAATAAAACCAAAATATTAACCTGAAAACTCGAGCCATATTCTTATATAGCCTCATGAGAACGAATCTTTCATATTTGATGTCATGCATGTCACAAAACTAGTTCAGAAATACCTAAACTGTCAGATATATACAACCGCTTTCTCAGATCAATTGCTGATGGTGGCATTCAGCGATTGATGACTGTCGGTCTTAGCGACGACTATCCTCCTTCGAACCACGGGGACTGGCGCTACAGAATCATAAACAAAGAACTTTGCCAGATAATAAAAACGACATCACTTGAGTCTGTCTATATTTCTGAGATGCGGTATTATGTACATTATTTACATTATTCGGACTATTGTCCTCATCTTTGTCGCCATATTTCCTCAAGGACACATGGCACAGTAGATAAACGCGTTGGTTAGATCCAGTGACAGGACCCAAAGAGTGTGAGTTCAATACCCGGTTAAGGCAGTGGAGAACTTTCAGAGGGAAATTAACAAGAGATAACTGATAACTGACATCCATCAAACATGGCACGTGGAACTAGAACAGTCTACCCCGGTGAGCGAAATAAAGGGTTCAGTTCGACATTCCAAGCACCTGAAGAAGGCCGGAGCGTACAACGGCCGAAACGTTGTGATAAATATGGCGACAAAGATGAGGACAATAGTCCGAATAATGTAAATAATGGACATCACTTGAGTACTTTAAACAGCAGCAACAAATAAAGTGGCTATCACATGACCTAATCAAGAAGTTGACGTTCCACATTATTTCAAACAACAAAAGATTAGGAAGGGAATCCCCGCCCCATCAATATTGAAAAGAGCGATAACACCTACTGGACCTATTTTCCTGAAAAATTGTTTTAATAGATAGATTTTATAAATTTCAACCAACAGCAGCACTGGCTGCTTGGTGAATGAATGTCGAAAGTTTCCTTATAAGGAAATGGCTAATATTACCAGTACCATAATGGGACTAAACAGAATCGGATAAACAAGCCTAATAAAAGTTTACACTGAACACATTCATTTGAAAAGGAGCGAAAAATAGAAAGATTTAATTGTTATGTAATAAAGAGTCTAACAAAGTTAGTCTGAAAATGGCATTGAAGATTAACAACTTAACCCGAGTCAAATTTCGTGTCATTTTCTTTATTGAGCCAATGGATGATTGCCGAATTTAAGCTTAGAAATTTTATCAACATCTGTTTTCTGCATGTTATCAATTCTTATTATTCAAATACAATCAATTTGTTCATTGTTAATATTTTCTTGTGAAACATTCGTTTTTTCCTAATAATTTTATTTTCTGTTTTATCAAGGTAATCGGTTTATATTTAATCCAGTATTTTTCAGATTTCATTATCATTTCTTTAACTTGTTCTTCCATTTTCATTCCTTTTGTCTTTTATATTCTTCCTAACGTAAAAGAAAAAGATACTTTCTACGTGCGTGTTTGTGTTTTCTGTCGATTCCTAATTTTCCCAAATATTCTTCATTTATTTTCGTTCTTTTAAAAATCAAATCAATTTCTCATCTGATTTCCGTTTTGTCTCTGTATCTACGATGTTCTTATCCTGGCTTTTGTTTGGCTTCTTCCTTCTCACTTTCAACACGTTGCGATAAATGAACGACTACTTAAAAAGGCGAATCTATCATTATTAACTGTTTCCATCTCCTCGGCAGATTTTCTTTATTCCTCTAATGGCTTTGTGTCCTATCAACTTTACCTGACAAACATCGTCACTCTCATACGTGGCTTACTCTCCAGTTACTTCAGTCGCTTTCATGGATCCATTACCCTCATCAAGGTTATGTCTACCGGCTTTATCCCCGCACCCCAAAATAGTCTCCACCTGAAGACTAATCCTTTGAGGCGTTGATTGTGATGTTGCTCGTTGATCCTTAAGTACAAATCAAGTTACTAACATGGGCTGCATTCCAAAAATACCTCCATTATACACACACACAGAGTTTCGGGGTGTGAGGCGCGCAATCACACACACATATATGGAAAAACACGTGCAAGTTGTCCTCCTGTTTTCCAACAGTTGACATTGCCGGGATTTATAAAATAAGAAAATTCAAACCCTAAGAAGAAAGGGAATGAAGAAGACATAACTGACCGAGTTTAATAATATATGAAAAATCAGGAGACTCAAAAGAGAGTTCCCTTATCTGTGAGAACATAGACACCATGTGGACATTAGAGTCCTTCGGAAAAGAGGAAGATAGCCAGAAACCCGTAACGATTGAAGAATTCAGATTAGTTTCACAGAGATAGGATGTCTGGAGAACATTCCAAGAGAAACTTCTCTGCACTGCGTAAATTCGTACGAATACTACGAATGTTGGAGAAAGAAAGGTTGAGAGGCTTAAGTAGTTTTCGTATTCTGCTTTAGTTTCATTTTCTGTAATCAATATAAGCCGCCTTGGAAGGTGACAAAGACTACAACATAGTGTTGCCCTCCGGAAATGTTTGCAGAGACATGTCACTGCAAGAACCCCGACATTATGCGACTGTTGATCAGAGCAGCCTCACTAAGCGCTACAAGAATGCAGCAACCAAAAAACCGCCAACCCAGTACCTTTAATATGATCAACCATAGACTGTCGTATCGCCAAAAAGTCATGACAGACACTCTTATTAAGGCATCAGAAAAAATAACTGGAAGCCTCATCCTAAACAGGAAAAAGGGATAAACTTCTATTCCTGTTCGGAAGATTAGGAAGGAGTATCGAGAAAAAAAGAAAATAAACCAAAAAGTAAAAAATAAGTAAAATGTAAAAAAATAAATAGATTAGTAAATAAAATCTTGTCGAGTAAGCGGAGATGTTAGAAGTTTACAGTTAACCTAATGCGCGATTTAAGGATAGTCAGCTCAGTATATAAACTTAAGAATTAGGTTTTATCTTTATAAGTTGTGTTGTCTCATAGCAAAAACAAAAAGAGCGACCTTATATACATATAATATTACATATTAATTTAAGGGGGTCACTTAAGGGCACTTTTGGATAGGTGTGTGGAAATTAGGACAGAAAACCTGAAGCATGAATTTCAACAAAGCTCAACCATTGAAGAACTAACAGCTACTTGTGAGACGTGATCCCAGAAAAAATATACAGATCTTCAACTATATTGAGTTCGTGTGTTGGTAAAGAAAAGAAAAAGAAAACAAATAATGAGTGTCAAATTCCATTAGGAATAAGTCAGCAACAGATTCGTCTCTCAACCGCAACACTTGGAGCCAAAATCCAGTTCAACGACTGTCCGACGTAACAGTGGTATTTACTCATACCCCCACGAGAATGAGATGTGACACAAGGTCGGATTAATGTGGAGTCCCGAGCGCGTACACTCGGGCAGGGACAAAAATTCCCCATCAGCCCCCGCAACCGTGTCCGACGTAACAGTCCAACAGGCCAGGTAGAGACGGCTCGCTTTATACAGCCGAGGACCGACCATAATTTACATATGAATCATTAGCCAACGAGATTTCGCGTTAGTCGTCCGAGATCACCTGTCATAAAACATGGGCGCCGCCATTTTGAATCTTTTTTCAGCCGGACTTTACATGACGCACAGATTCGTGGACGTTTCCAAGGTAGGCCATTCTTTTCTTTCTTCGTTCGTCCAGTATTTCATTTTGCCAGGGACTGTTGCTACATTTGCGTAAGCGTCCACTATTCTGCTTACATATTACGCATGCCACTCGTTGTCTCTTAGAACGACGAACTGTAGTCAGTTCAGCAGAACCCACAGGCTGCTGCCTTCTAGTTCCGCTACAGTTTGACTAGCTGTATTGGTGATGGTGTTAACATTTGGTGTTACTATAGCGTGAGGTCTACCTCAATATATCGTGTTCTCCCCTCATGTGACCATCAGGTCAGGTGAGGTCTAGCATAATATTTATATCTGTCTGACATTTTTTTAAAATCGTGAAACGGGAGGTAGACCTCACGCTATATTAGCACCCATGATTTCTCCTCTTTCCACTTACATTTCACCCGATCTCATTACCCACCTTCAACTTAAAAAAAAAAAGTCTGATTAAGAGTTATGGCGAGGGACCAAAATATAAGATTAACCTTGAATATTCGTATTTAGGTAAGGTTAGTTAGGGAACTGTTAATATATCATTAAGTATTAAGTTTTAGTAAAACTGAGTAAAATTTGCGATATCTCCTGTCAAACTAAAATCAAGCGGAAAATTAAATTAACCTTATTACAGCATAAATATTTTTCCCCCTAAGCACATTAGTGGGTTCCACCGGGACAATTCGGTATAGGTCCCAAAAGAGAAGAAGAAACCAAACAGATAAGAGAAAACGCAGGGGACATGCATGTATTCAAAGCCACTCGACTATTGGCTTTTTGGTAAGTTGGCTCCACTTAAATGATTGTAGTAATTCCCATTTTTACAACAAGGTTTATAAAGGCGTCTTTTTTTTAGTTGATCTTCTGGTTGTGGTGAAGGCAACTATAGTTGTCTCCCCCTCGAACTCCTCTACTATAAAAAAATAATGGTCGAATCTAACATGTGTGTGTTACGGTTTTTTGGGTATATATACTTATAACTAGGATATTTATTATGTAAAAATACATAATTGTGGCACAAGGCCGAAATGGGAGGGGGTGTAGGCTGGTCTTCACTAACTATCTTATACCTAGCTAATCTGATTCACGACCCATTCATACGTTACAATTAACCCATTCACCAAAAGAACTTGTCCATCACCACTCAATCCTTCATGCACCATAATACCAGATT